AATACATGAAGGGATCTGCGGTAATCACATCGCCACTCGATCTCTTGTGAACAAGGTTGTTCGTTAAGGGTACTATTGGCCCCGAATCCAAGATGACGCCTACAACTTTGTTAAGAGGTGTGATAAGTGTCAGCGATTCGCGAACATACCGCGACCTCCCTCCCATGAACTGATAATCATGACTAGCCCTTGGCCTTTTTCCATATGGGGGATCGATCTCATCGGTCCCATGCCAGTCGATAAAGGGGGAGTCAAATATGTCGTGGTCGTGGTAGATTGCTTCACCAAATGGGTGGAAGCCGAACCGCTAGCCGCAATCACGACCAGAAAGCTCAAAGACTTCGTTTTCAAGAATATTGTGTGCCGCTACGGAATTCCGCATACCCTCATCTCGGATAATGGGAAACAGTTCGACAACGAGGAATTCAAGCATTTTTGCGACGAGCCGGGCATCCATAAAAAATTTGCCTCAATCGCAAGACCACAAGCAAATGGCCAAGTTGAAGCTGTCAACGAAACCATCAAGCACACTCTAAAGGCCAAACTTGGTGCAGCTAAAGGGAATTGGGCCGACGACCTCCCCGAAGTCCTATGGGCATACAGAACAACTCCAAGAACCTCCACCTCAGAAACATCATTTTCGCTAGCATACGGATGCGAAGCGATGATCCTTGTAGAGGTAGGAACTGGTTCACTTCGGAGGGACTTGTACAATGAGGCCGACAACGAAGCACTTATGAGAGCAAGCCTAGACCTTGTAGAAGAACATCGCAACAAGGCTTTGCTAAGGATAGCAGCCTACCAGCAACGAGCGAAGAGGTTGTTTGATTCAAAGGTCAGGGGAAGAGACTTCCAGGTCGGTGACCTTCTATTAAAGGAAGTTCTTCTCAGTACCAGGGAACCAAGTGCGGGAGTGTTAGGACCGAACTGGGAAGGTCCATACCGCATTGACAAAGTGATAAGACCGGGGACTTATGATCTTAAAAGGTTGAACGGTTCCAAAGTACCCCGAGCTTGGAATGTTGAGCACCTTCGACCATACTATTAGTAATTTCGAACTCAGTTTTCCTTGTAAATTAATTTCTGATTTTTGTAAATCATTTCCTTGTAAAGTGTTATTTTGTGCGCTTTTAACAATCTTCGCATGTAATCTTGCTCGTGTAAATGTGTTATGTTATCACACTTGTTCCAAAATATAAGCAATCAGAATGTACTCATGAATAATAAAGCGAATAGAAATTGTAAAAGCAAAAATGTATTTCACTAATGAGGAGAGTACAACAGGCAAAATGGCACAACTATACGCCCTAATCTAGCTCCTAGAGGACCGACCTCATCGTGCTAGGGCTGGTCGGCTGGGGGTTTCTCTGAGGCATGTCCGGAACCTCCTGTCTGATCAGACGCTTGGGCGGCCACCGCTTCGTCATTCTCCCGCGCCATGGACATGAGGGTATCCTTCCAGTCTTCCAGAAGGTCGAACATATCAAGTCACAGATTCTTCAGTCGCAAGGTATAGATAGACTCGATCGCCCAATTGGCAGCCTTCTCCTCGACCTCTGCTGCCTGATTCTGAATCTCTTTGGTCAGGGAAGCAACTTTTCCCTGACTTGCATGAAGTTCAGCCTCGAGAGCTTGCCTTTGCTTCTCGGAGGCATCCCTCTATTGTTCTGTTCGCAAAGCCCACAGACAGGTCGTTTTGAGCTCTTGGTCCTTCTCTCCGAGCTTCTTAGAGAGCCTGACTATGGTCCTTTGAAGCTCTTTTGTTTCCTTCGCATGCCGCTCGAGCTCCATTTTTTGGAAGTCCACCGTTTGAAGAGCCGTGTCTCTTTCGTTCAGGTACTGGTTCGCCAACTCAGAAGACATGTTTCTCTCTGTTTCGACGACTTCTAGGCTTCGCTTAAGCGTTGCATTCTCTTCCTTCAGAGCGACCTCCCCCTTTGCAGCTCCCAGTCGAACCTTCTTCAAGGACATTTGCATAGAAAGCAGGCCCTTCGAACAAAGAAATAGTTAGCTAATCAAAAGGAGCTAAGGGTAGTCCTCGCCAAGGATAGTTCGTTCACCTTGCTTAAATGTTAGACTGATGTGGACATTAGGTCCACGTCGCTAGAATCTGCAAATTGCTCAAATGATTCCAAGAGTCCGCATTCCAGTAAGGTGTAGACTATCAGCTGCAGGTACTCCGGCAGGTTCCCCAGCGAGTTCAGCACAAGAGTATCCTTTTTCGCGCCTTCGACAGTGGTCGTGTCTTCCATCAGTTCCTTACCCGACCTCCTCATGTACGGTCACGACCTCTTGGGTTGATCGCCCTCAGATTCGATCTCTAACTCTTCGACCTGAATCTGCCTCCTCTTCTTTCGCTGAGCTATTGTCTTTAGCCTCGGGTGAGTAGGCGATGGTTGGGAGGCCTTTGTGGTTCGGATTGGTACGTCCTCTAATGGTTGGGGTTGAGAAGTTCCAGTAGGTCGCGCCGATGGGCCCGATGCGGCACCTTCAGCCAGGGGAACAGTTAGAGCAGCATCGATTGCCTTGGCTTTTCTTGACCGAGAAAAATTGAGTGGCCTTCATCGCGGCTGCTCTGACTCCTTCTGAGGCATGGCCGCTGCATGCAAAGCATCGTTAGCAAAGTATTTCATCTCACAACCAGAGAAGGACCAATTAACAAGACTTACCCAAAGGGGGCTCTAAAGACTCACTTGCGTTAAAGAAACCATATTTCTGTAGATTCGCGGTCGTCACGAGCTTCTTTGCGTCGCGACAGTCCTCTAGCAGGAAGCCAAAATTCCAGATCCTATTCAGATCAAAGAGCAGCCCTAAGTCAGTAGTCTTGTTAACTGTCAGAAAGGAATTAGGTCGTTAGAAAGAAACCACATTTCGAATTTAATGAATTCGTCAAAAAAAAAAAGAAAAAAAAAAAAGAGGCCTACTCGGTTCTTGGAAGCGGCAATGGCCGTCATAGTGAAAGAAGAAAAACTTCGTTTCATAGGCCCCCGCGTTACTAGGGTAACTGTGTATCCCTTCGGCGATAGTAGGTCACCTGGACAAGTAATAAGAATCCTTGTCCTTGCTTTTTTTCAAGAAATATGAACAGCCGAGCTCCACCGTGGTCAGCTCGCCCAACCCGTTCTCACGACACGCGATGTACATTGCAACGGCAATGACGTACGAGTTCGGAGTCAGCTGCATCGACGCGATCCGAAAGTGATCCAAAAGTGACCTGATGAAAGGGTGGAAGGGGATCAGTCCCCCACCCTTAATGATCTCCTCGGAGATTGCGCCCAGACCACGTAACGGGTAGCGCGATGAGTGTGCCACGTCAAGGAAAACGTCCACCTCAATACCGTACTATTTTATTACCCTCTCGAGCTCATCCCCGGTAAGTACCAAGAAAACCTCGGGAGGGATACTCGGAGCACCCTGTGGGGATGAATCGGTTCCCTGTTCGGATTTGGTTATTAAGGGGTCCATTTCGTCAGTCTGCAAAAGCGACAAGCAGAAGGGTCATTTAGCCACCGTATGCTATTTCGTACGATGACGTGGAAGTAAACAAACTCCATAAATCCCAAAGAAAACCCTAACAGCATGATTTGAGCCGCCATACATGGCTCGAACTCGACATGAATGTCTCGTCTCTGATGGGTTACCGGAGGACTGACGCCATTTAACCATGGAAAATAAGAAAACAATAAACAGAGAAAGGTTCTTACCTCTCGGAGTACGAAGATGGCTCCTGCTTCGAATATGGGAAAGACGCCGGTTTGGAAGACAAAGGTTTCAAGCTCGCGAAAATCTCTTGCTCTCTGTGAAAAAAACTCTGGTGACATTGCCTGAGAAAGGTCTGAGTTTTTATAGCGCATGTACTGACGTTAGCTTCTCTCGGAATCAAAACGACATTTGGGCGGCAAAAATTTCTCACCATTGATCACAGCCACGTGTCGCAGATCAGTGGGAAAGAGTGAGCGTCATGATTAAAGAAAGTCAAATCTTCATCTTTTCCGTTGAGAAACTCAAACGACGGCACTCTCTTTCTCAGAGCATTAATTGCGCCCCAATCTACATTTAATGCTCTGATGAGGGGCGTCGAATCAGCATGCCGCGCATTTAATGTTCTGATGAAGTGGTACTGTGTCTGCATACAACGCATTTAAAGCACCTAGCTGGCACTTATCACGCGCATGACACATCTGTCAACATAGGGACTGCTTCATTAAATGCACCCATATCAAAAGCACAACAGGTAATGCCTGACGAAATCAGGTCGCTCATCCTCTACGAACAATGACCATGCGAGGACGTGTTCGCAAAAAGTGCTACTCCGACGCGACGTGACATAGTTTCCAAGGTTCGATTCTCAAATCTTAAAAACTAGGGGACTTCTGTTATGCCTAAAAAATATAAGGGCTGACGTAAGGTCCAGTCAGCATGCAAGAGTTAGATCATGGGTACACCTGCTGCCTGCTTTCGTCAGAGTAGTGGGTGTGTGCCAGACCAGCCAGAAGCTGTGATGATCCCACGTGTCCAATCCCTGCTCTAAATCGCGCAAATCACTTTGGAAGGTGGGCAATGTGACATAAAGAAGGATTTGCACGGATAATCCCACCAAGTTGCAGATTCAATAATCATTAGCTTTAGGCATCTCACTATAAATTGAGAGCTCCTCCCTCGTTAAGGGGATTCGCATATTTTACATTTGATTAGCTACTCTCTCTCTCTCTCTCTAAAATTTTCAGCATTTGATACCTTGTATTACCATTGTAAAGTCAGTCAGCTAAAGCGACCTGACCCTTATCATTAATATAAGCATCAGTGGACGTAGGACTTGCTACCTTAGCATCCGAACCACTTTAAAAATTGTCCCCATTGCATTTACTGTCATTTTCCTTTACATTCACGTGTGCCTTTTGGGCCAGCTCAACATTTCACACGTGTATTTCATTGGTGTAAAAATCACGCATCAACAATATTTATACTAAACCATATAGTCTTATGAGGAAATTCAAACTTCATAGCTCATCGGAGATGACACCATCAACTTCCAGTTTGAAAACTCTCCTATAATTTAAGAAATTGTAAAAGTAAGCAACCCTGAAATTAAATAAAGGCTCGAGTTCTCAAAATTTGGTCTTTTTCTACTTACATCTCGATAATGTGGCAAAGAGCATTATTGTTGTAAGAACAATCACATTTGATAAATGGGTTGTAACCATTGGTATAAATGGCAATGGAGTCGTCAATTGCGGCTCCACTACATGGCTCTCCACTTATATTCCATTGATTTTGATTTGCAGAAATCCCCCATTTTTCAAAAATTCTATTCAATGCTGCCACGGATAGAAGAGAAGCAACTCAAAAAATGAGAAGAATGAAGTGAGTGATAAAGTCTGAATGTGAAGCATCTTTTAGAGTTAAAATAATAAAAAGAAGATAAATAAATTTTTACTTAGAAGAAGACCTTCACGAGGAGCTGTAGTAGCTTGAGCTTGAGTTTTAGCTACATCAAGTGCAAGAATGTCCAAGAAAATGTAACTGACATACAAGCAAACAATTGCTGAAACTGAAGCGGCTGATTTCATCAACATCATCGTTACATGTATAAACCAATATTACTCTTATTTAATATTTGTTTCTTCAAGAATAATAATGTTTAATTATAACTTGATTAACAGCTCTAATGCTATGTCGTTATTATCCTAGTTAGTAAATTAGTGAATTATATGCCCAGCCGTATAATTTGTGTATTATTCACAAACAGTCATATTTTATCAGCTCAGCTATATTATTCGTGAATTATATGCCTCAGTCGTGTTATTCGCGAATTATTCCCGTATCCAAATTTTTACCGAAATTTTACAAACGTATTTTTCACTATTTGTCGTATCATATTTGTAAAATTCTCGTATCCGTATTTACTAACTAGGGTGAGTTTTTGTTATAGACTATAATTTGAATCTTGATTATATTATTTATTTATTTTATTTCTTTGGAGCGCTAGTTCAATTTTGAATTTTGGTTTTGTTATGTGTTTGATTTGAGACTATAATTGAATCTTGGCTATATATTGCGTTTGAGTCTGAAGACTATAATTTGAATCTCAATTATATATTGTGTTATATTATTAAGTCTAATGGATATTAGTTAATTGAATACTTTGCATTTGAAATGCTATATTGATTTTAACTAGGTGGTCCATGAAAAGTGTAAAAACCAAGATTGATATTGTTGTATTTTTCAAAACATATTATTAACAATGACCGTATTAAACCCGTATATACGCGTACCGTATTTTTCCCATATCCAAATTTTATGGCCGAAATTTTACAAACGTATTTTTTACCATTTGCCATATTATACCCATAAAATTCCTGTACCATTTTTTTGTCGTACCCATATTTACTAACTAGAGTTATTATAAGACTTGTTCTTTGTCCCAGTTGAGACTTCACTAGTCAACCATAGTTGACCCTGTCTTCAATAAGGGAATATATTATCAATCTTTGATTCTTTTGGCTATTTTTTTCCTTCTTATTCCCATAATCAAAAAGCAATTACTTTACTCTATATTTATATATTTAAAATTAATAATTAAATTACACCTTTTTACTTTCTTTGAAAAAATGAAAAGTTGTTAGACCTAGCGGCTCAACCCATTTAGGAAGTTATAAATGGAGTAATATTTTAATATATTATTAATTTCTAGGCTTTTTAATTGCTTTTTAGATGACTCATTCTGGAAGAAGCAATTTGGTGGGTGCCAAAAAAAATTGCACTAAAATATAAAATAACCCATTCTATTTATTAAAGATAGTAATCCTTCGTTACACATATTAGGTTGAAATAGTGGCTGTTTACTTTACATCAAAATAGATCTTTATTATGTTGATTAACCCATAAACATAAAAGTTTGTGTTAATAATTGATTTTTAAAATCAAAATTTACCTTTAACTAATACTAATATTGTGGGATAAAAAAATTAATAATAATTGATTCCAAATTAATAGTTTACTTTCCCTAAATTATTGTCCTACAAGAGAAAGGAATGTGGCCCATGAAGTGACAAATTCTTAGACAGTTTTAATATATCATAAATGTATTAATTCAATAAAAAAAGTTCATGTATGTAATTTTTTTTTCCATAAAATCCAATTATTATAGTAGCTAATTGGAGAACAAATTACAAGACCTTTTTAAAAGAAAGTAATTGTCGGTGGGGAAGTAATATAAATCTATTAATATTTTCTTTATTTACAATGACAAATTACTTTTATAAAAATGATGTGATATTATTCTCACAATATCCATTATAATCTCTCTCTCTCTCTCTCTCTCTCTCTCTCTTTTTTTTTTTTTTAATAACAGTAACCACTATTTTTTTTTTAATAAATAAAATAGATTATAATCTCTTTAATTTGTTACCAATTTTCAGTTATTCCAAGTCTATATATGAAACTGGTTTCCCAATTAGTATTCTTCAAAAAAGTAAAATAAACCCAAAAATTAGAATATAAATGGTACATTCTATAGTTCATAATATAAAGTAGCAAGGAATTTGTATATTTTCTCTAAAACGACATAAAAACATATTTTTATTTTCTCAAATCATGTTTTTTCCCCTAATGATTTTTTAAATGTTTTTAAAATTTTAAATTACAGATTATTTTAAATTTTATACTTCATAAAATTTAAATTTAAAGAGTTTATCTATATAATTTTGTAAAAAATGTATACATATTGCTAGTCTCTTAGAAATCAAGATTTTAGGCTCATAGTCTTATCTCATGTGATACACATATGCCGTAATGAAGGTTGTAGGCTTTTGAATCAATTACTGGCTATTTTATGTTATCAATTCAACAAAAATATAATAAATAAATATGCTTTTTTGTTGATCATTTTATTTTAGTTAGAAAACAAGATCAAACACATTTTGCATGACAAGATAATAATATTTTTCTTAAAAGATGTATGAAAGTAACCCAAATTTTCAAATCAAGTACTTTAATTTGTTGAAGTCTTAAAGTGGTGAGAAAGTAATTAGCCTCATTAATTTAACCTTAAAGACATTACCTTCACTCTATATTTAAATTTTAATAGTTAAAATTTCCTACAATATTAATCGTTAAATTCATTTTTTTCTTTCTTTGGAATAATACATGGAAAGTTGTTGGATGCAACCCATATAAGAAGTTATAAGTGGAAATAATATCTTAATATATTGTTTCATTTCTGGGTTTTTTTTAATTGTTTTTCTGTTTACTTATTTTGGAAAAATGTGATTTTCTTTGGATGAACCCAGTAATTAAATAAAAAAGAAAAAAAATTACAACCTAGGAAGGGGAGCCCTTCCCCCAAAAGAGCCTTGGACAAACCCAAGGATCAAACTAACAAGAACAAAGGCAATAACATAGGAGAAACAATCCTCTACCAGCTAAGCCGTATCAAAACTAAGGCCTTGACAGAAGCCCTAAAGCTAACTATACAACATTTTCATATAAAGAAATGCTGCAAACCCAAAAGCCTAAATAAACCCTCCAGCTCAAATGACACAAGCCTAAGGACTTCAGACATTGGTTAAAAAATAACAGGCCAAGAATGCACAACCCAAGTGATGAAAATAAATAGAATAAAATTATATAGAATAAGTGAAGTTGTTGGATTCAACACATATAACAAGTTCTAACTAGAGACAATATATTATTATATAGTTGAATTTTTTTGTCCTCTGTAATTTTTTTAGAGTTTACTAGTTATGAAAGAGGCAATTTAGTGGTATTGATATTTTTTCAGATAAATCCAATGGTATTTGTTGGAGTCCCACACGTACTAAGCACGCTCAAGCCTACTGGGTTATAAAAAAGGTTAATCCTCCCATTCAAGAGGGTCTTATTAGGTGAGGAGTCAGACCCACCTCAAATTCTGTCATGGTATCAGAGCTAGGTCCAATTGAGCTGAGTGCTTGACTAGCGGGTGAGGAGCTAACAACTACCTCTATCAATTGGCATGACCCAACATATGGGCTTGACCGTGAGGAGTTAGAGCTAGCAACTACCTTCATCAACATGCATGACCTAACATATGGGCTTGACCGTGAGGGATTATGCATGCTCAAGCCTACTGGTTTATAAGAGAGGGTAATCCTCACACTCAACAAGACCTTATTGGTTGAGGAGTCAGACCCACCTCAAATTCTATCACTATTTAAGTATAGTCCTAAGAAAATTTACATAAGTACGTCTTAAGTTGTGATAGAATATTGTTATTATGTAATCGGTCATCCATTAATGAAATTTCATTTTCATCCAATTTGGTCAAATTGTATAATAACTATGTTCCAAGCAAGCAACAACCTTAAATAAAGCTATAGAAAATTACCTTAAATTTGGGATAATTATTTTCATAAGCTTTGAATCAAATATTATTGTAGTATTATTTAGGTTCAAAATAAGGAATTGCAATCAAATTACAAATCAATGGATCTTGAAACACATGTAATAATTTACCAGGAATATGTGAAGTGTCATTGAGTTCACATAACTTCATTGCAAAAAGGGCTTTCTAGCCATCCAAGGTTTAACTCTTTCAAGAATGGAAATGAGCAGCCCAATTATAAAAAGATTAGGGAAATCAATTAAGAAAATCACAACTAACAACAACAAGGCTAGTTAGTAATAACCAAACATACCTCATAGACACGTTTAGAGTTGCTTCATCTCATAAGTATCACTATAACCAAACCTATACCCAATGCATCCTTCATTTGACTCAACTGCAACTCCATCAACGATACTCATGCGAACATCACATACACCAAATATTCCTCTCCAATAACCGTTGTTGTGAGGCTCCAGATTCACTATGAATAGTTCTTATCAAATTTCCTAACAATTGACTCTACAAACTAGTTAACAAAGTGGACATAAATTGCAGAACAAAATAAAATAATATATACATGCATACATACAAGTTCATCTAAAACAATTCAGTTATTCCTAAAAATGAAATCTGCAGACTAGGCATATAGAAATTTCAAAAAAATCACTATTCCTTAAATAAAACAAATACAAAATCAAATGTTCCCATCCACTCACAAGACACTGATAATTTAACAAAATCATCCTTCGCTAGAAAAATAAAATGTCAAACATTCCCACAAATAAAATTCAACAAAGTTTACGTGCACCTCAATTAATCCCTATGGTCTATTGAACACCCCACAAGCCTAATGGGCCAGGTAAATCACAAATGTGGTAGGTGGTCACTTTGTGTGGCTCGAACACAAGACCTCTAAGTAACCCGCAGTCTTGCCATCAGGCCACAAGCCAAGTGGTCGCTCCTCTAATTTTTTGCCAACACGCAAGTTTATCATCTATAGTTTGTATATCTACATAAATAGTTCCTAGAATCTACCATCTATTGTTTGTCATCTACTGAATGACTTCTAGAATCTATAATTCACACAAATTTCTACTAACTTGTCTTGTATCTTGGAAAATCTATCCATCTAAAATATGACATCTGTCTTTTTGACAATGATGTATAAATCTGTTTGTATTAAACGGTTGCCATAATCTATCACCCATATAG